CCAATTAAAAAGATGTTATTAACTTATTACTGATACATAAACAATGTATTGCTAGTTTTTCTTTTTACTGAAGTGTGTTGCTGTCGAAGGATTTACTTATTTCATAAAGCAAGTTACAAAGACAAAAAAAAGACACTAAGTCAAAGGCCAACAAAGGGACAAGAGTGTAGGGGAAGTGACCAGGGGTACAGGGGACGGAGAGGGGCGGAGGGCACAAAATGACACCGCATTTAACATTTATCAGTTAACAAGACAAGCAGCAGCAGATCAAGAACTATTGTGTAGTTTAAAGCGGTAAATGATTCACCAAACCTCCCACTTAGCCCCAACATGTTATTGTAATACAACACGGTGTAAATAAATTGAATTTCTTGCTAAGCGGGACCTTGTTATGGTTACAAAAGGTTATGCAGTCCAAACTGTGATAAAGATCGCTTTTTTATAATACAAAATTTAATAGGGCATTTTTTTTCTTTCCAGTCTACTTAAATGCAGAACAGAAGACCACGTGTTTACCTAGGCCATTTGTAGCATGGAGTCGTGTCTTCTTAACAAAGCTGTTTTGTAATAAAACCTGCACATAAATCAAATATACGTACTTCACTCTCTCAGCATCAACTGCCTTATTGACGCACCTTTAATTTGCAAAAAGTAACTTGCAAATTACAATACACTACAGTAATTGGAACTTTCAAGAATAATGAACTTCATAATGTTCCCCCAGAAAACATTTATTACTTTAAATGATTATTTATATCTAATGATTATAAGCATGTAATACAACTATGAACAATTATTATCCTTACAACCTTTATCCTGAATTCACAATACGGTACAACAAAGGTTATCTGTTAACTTCTGTATATACTACAAAAAATACGAAAGAAAAATCAACAAAAAATTGCGAAACCCAATGAACGCATTCCTCAACCAAAAACCAAAAACCAACAGCACAAGACCACGATAAACAAAAAACATGAGGGCACCAATCGCAAAAAAAGCACAGATGGGACGTTTTAAAAATAAAACAATAAAGGGAACCATGGAACACCAACACAATTAAAGAAGGCAATCAACCAAAGGGTCATGGGAATAAAGGCACAGTTAAAAGCGACTGGAGGCTGTGGAAGCACGTGCAACATTTGAAAAAAAGTATTTATAGAACACTTAATGCAGATAAGCACATTTAGGTGTGCATTTCCTGCTTCTGTTTTGATATTCTTGTTACTTTACAAGACAGAAAATTGAAATATCAATTTACTGTCCATATGACAAAAATACCTAAGCTGTTTCAATTCTCATTTTTCTTCTTTTTTATATATATTTAAATCCTTTGCAAAGAATTTCAACCTATTCTGTGTAAATCACATACATAAAAAATAACAGCTAATGTATCAGAAAAATACTTATTTATCTATTTGCTCCTTGTAACCTTACATATTATTGCAAGAGGTAAATTAAGAATGCACTTATGTTGCTGTAGAATATAATTATCGGAGTACTCGAAAGATACACATTGAATCATGTATAAATCACACCTTAGTCTAATTATAACGCGGTAGGTGCCCCTCGTCTTTACCTGAAAAAATCTAATAAATTATAAAGGAGACTGGAGATTAGAAGTGACACAAATTAATCATTACCTGGTTGAATTGTTCAGTACAATAGTAACTGTTGCTGTCTGTCTGTCTGTCTGTCTGGCATTATTGTCAGAGAAATTCAATAAATTGTTTCATTTATTGTGTATGATTTAACCTTCTTACTGCTTGTCAGATGTACAACATGACAGAGAAATGGCATTTAGCAATCATTTTCAGCAAACATAAAGTCTCTGTTTATTTACATTTTGCTATCATAAATTATTTTTATACAATTCAGAAATTAATAAATAAAACATTTTCAAAGCCTAGCTTCACATATTCACACAACTACCATTCAGTTACGTTTATATCTATGAATAAGAGCAATTACAAGAATGAAGTAACGTCTTCTTAATACACAACTTGGTAAGTTGTGAAATTCAGTTATGCACTAATAAACTGATATTGTATCTGTGTTTCTGACCGTTCCTAGATATTTTCGGTTATTTTTAGAAAATCGGCATGTAAAAGGTAATTATCGTCGAAAATATTCATTCAAGTTTATGGTCAAATAATCTAAAAACCAATCCTAGCTATTCAAATGGATCTGCTGGAGAATGGAGCACCCAGTGCACATGTACTTAATTCTATATGGCCGGGCATAGATAGATCACGATGCACGAAGTCTATTGCTTTTTTAAACATTCATTTTCAGTTTGGAAATATGTTCAGAATAATTCAATGGCTAACTTGCTTTAACAGGAATATCCTAGTTTTTATACAAGCATTGTAAGTTAATTTGAACTCATTTACTGTCTATTTCTTTATTTAATCATATAAATACATATACAGTAGAATAATCAAGTTTTCAACAAAAAAACTGAATGAACCATAAATATTTTTTTTATAAACTTATCCAGTTATTGCAATCGTTTATTAATTTTGTTTTGTTGTTTTCATCTTTTTCACAATACAGTTCATAGTAATGGTCCTTGGTAGGATGGTTTCATCATTGTTTAAAGATAACTTTTAAATAATGACATTTTTTTAATAGAAGTAAACCAGAAAGTGCTTTTGGTCCTATATTATTTGTACTGTGAAACAGTAATGAACCAGTAACAGCCTATCCGTTTCCAGATAAGTAGTTTTCAGCTTTTTCCGAGCAATTTTATTGACATCATTAAGTAAGAGCCAGATAACAACTATTAAATTCATTAAACACACCATGTTATAGTCCTTTTGCATAAAAATCATAATGTAAAAGTGAAGCGCTTCGCGAAGTTATAGTATATTACCACTACATTCTCGTACATTTTGAAATCGAAAACCACAAGTCAATGTTAAAAAGCAGCTCGTTTAATTTCTTTCACTCATTTCAATATGTTTGTATTAAGACATTCGTATCTAAGTTTTGTTTTGAATAGAAAATCAACAAATTCAGTTAATATTTCAATTGCTTCTTCGGAGGGCTTCTTCCGAAGAAATTAATTATTCTTGTTAGAACATACTGTTTTTTTTTTTGTTTGTTTTTTTGTTTTTTATATTTGTTTTTAGTGGCTTAACAATCATGTTCCAGGTTTAAAGAAACTCACAATTCTTTAACAGGCCTGGTATAATGTTTCTTGAAAAAAGAGCCCTTTATGGGATACCTAGAGATTGTACAGAATTACGAGCTGAATAATTTTTCTAGCAAGGATTTTATTTCAATTTATTCTTGATCATGAATCAAACAACTCTCTGGTGAATTAAATATAATTCAAAGCAGAGAGCATAAACATGCCAAGGCACATTCTTGGCACGGTTATATAAGTAAAAATAATTAATACTGTATCGAATAGGTATTGTATTAGAAATAACTAACACACAAGAGAGTAACGGTAGGTCTGTGCTTGCTCACGTGTAGAACTTTCTCACCATATAATGTACAAAATATAAGTAGAAAAACATATATTTTCAAATACAAACAGGTTGTTGAGAATGTAACTCTACATCAGATTCCTAAAATATTTTACACTTTTTGTTATTTTCATGAAAAAAAAAAGTTTTCATCTAACCTCGTTATGAAAACATTTATTTATGACAAGATACTGTACATGTATTTAAATGTATTTCTATTTTGGTTGTTACTGTGACTTGATACAAAAACTAAAATAATACAATACGAAAACAAGCTACTTAGTAAAAGGTTATCTCATTTTTCCGAAAGAAATACCAGTAGAAGATAAAGGCATAATATTTTACATTTCTTGCTACTTTGGAGAGAAAATTTATCATATATTCTTTCCGAAATACAAACATAACTTTATAAAATTGTACAGATTTACAATACATTTTTTTCTTGCAATTGAGCTTAACATTTAATGTGTTACGTTGGGATGCTAGCTGGTGATATTTAAGTTCACTATAAGATAGGAGTTTTTATGTTTGAAAGCGTTCGTTATTGTCTTTCAAGCCAAAAGGATTTATCTTATATTATTGTTGATTCTTTATATTAAACTTCAGTCGAGAATGCCGAACTAAAATAAATGTGTAATTAAAGTTGTTACTTTATCAGACGTTGACATACAATGCTATTTTTTGTGACTGAAGTGTGTTTCTTTGGAAGGATTTACCCTTTTAATGGATTTTAACTCACAATAACACTATAAAGGTCTGTTGCGACTTTCCAGATTTACTGGTGAACGGAGGGGCTCCTCATTCATTTTATCAGACACCGTTAAATTTAACGTTTAAACATTCTCACAATTGCATAAGGCACAGCGTAGGAAATAGATATCACTTTTCTAAACAGAAGAATAAGGGAATCACTGAAAGCTACGAAATGTCATCATAGGTTAACATGTATACATTTTGTGCTATTGAATGTGTCGATTGTGCTAAAGATTGAAGATTTAAGCCATTACTATGGGCGATGTTGCACCTTACATTAACTCTCATAAACGGAACCAATCAATCCGCAATAGTAATCTTTTATGTCACCTATTATCCTTCATGTACAGACTCAATCAAACCGAGTCTGCGATTCTCTTGTAATTTTGTTGTGATTTATGCTTCCGAGGGATCACTTTGTTTCCAGATTTTTACATGTAAGACATGTTATGGCATTTCTTTATCTGATATGTTGCCATTTACATTCACTCTTCAATTTCGAAAAAAATCAGCTGTATACTAAAATAATTTCGTATCAAACTAATACTTTGGAGTAACGCTTTTTTGTATCCCCTGTTAAACCGTTTGCACAATGCTTTGGTTACCCATGATGCGATTTATTTTATCAAGCTCATTAAATTAAAAGATAATGCACTTATGAAAGGACCCTCTACTTACTGGGTATTATACAGGTGTCAAATGAATACATGTACAAATGCAAAAGGAGCAGGAGAACTGTGGCGGCAGTTTAAAGAAATATAAAGAAAAAAAGATTTAAAAGCAAAATATTTATTTTTGTGTCTTTAGATTGAAAGAAGTAAACTAAAGAATTCACATGAAAATCCTAATAACAATTGACATCTTAATTGTGTAGTTAAACATAAACATAAACAATGGAATATATATATAAAATGCAATAAAAATAAAATTAAATAAAAACTAAATACAAATAATGAAATGTTCTCACGTGAGTCTGTTCCCTAGGTTTTGTTGAACACTTTAAATTATTAAAATACGACAAGTTCCATAAGGGAGATTTCAAAGTTTCAACTTTGAAATACACGTTGCACATGTATAACATGTTTATATAAAATTGGTTACTGTTCTTTCCTATGTCACCAATTAGTTTAAATCCCAATGTAAAAAATATCTAATATTATATATCTAATAAGGGTACAAAGCCAAACTAATTTTTTGAATGCAGCGCAAAAACGATACGCAAAAATGTTTCTAAGTTCTTCTTTTGTTGTTATCCTTTTCATTATACTTTAACAAATTTTCTGACACATGTTTGACCTCCTCCAGTTAATGTCTGAAATAGAAAATTTTCTCTTTATTTTCATAACAAAATATATCAATACATAACAGCCTTTTTCAAGGAAGTCAACTGAGGTACTTAAGCCTAAAACAATAATATTTGATTTTATAAGATCAACTTGGTCACTTTTAAAACGAAAATATATGCAAAGAATTATAAAGAAAATAATAATCATTAAGAATTGAGAAAAAAAACTATGTACAACGTATTTTGTCCAATTTTAAGGCGATTCTAGTTAGAAGTATTTAAACGCTTTTCATTTTTTTGGGTCATCTGTTATAATGCAAATGACTTTTTTCTGGAAAATGGGACTAACAAATGATTTAAAAAAAATTTCAACAGACATTGGTCCAAACCTACATCAACTACTTTAGATTTTCGGACAAGTCATGTCAAAAAACCTCAGTGGAGTACCTCTAACGTTTTCAGTATTTGTTAAATTGAAATTTATCTAAATTCAGTGTTTTTTTTTAATTTATCTTAATCCAGTAAGGAAAGAAAACACTTAAATACCTGTAGTTATCTAAGTGTAGCTTTTATTGATGATATTAATTAAGGAAATTATTGTGTTTTTCACTAACATTCAAACAAGAAATATCCCAGCTCAAGCAGCTTTAAATTGAATTCTAACACTCACGTGATTTTGTCACTAAAAACAAAGAAGGAAAAAAAACTGGTGTTAAACTGCCAATAAACACTGGTAAGGGACTACTTGTATACGCGCTAGCTGTTATGTTTCCACCTTCGATTGTATAGTTCGTCGCCTTATTCTAAAAATGTCCTAACTCCATTTTTACCAAAAATGAGATAACTGCACATTTATTTTAGTATTAGTTTGTTCTATCTCCAAAACAAAACTTGTGAAGATTTACGTCATACTTTTGTAGATATAGCGTCTGTATTTTGTTCTATGTCCAATGGAAAGCTTTGCTGTTAGCCTTTTTTCGTCGTATCTCCAACACATGTAACACTTTTAGGCTAATCTTTCGTGCCAGCCAATCAAGTTGAAAAATATATGTCATGTGACCTGAAGGGGTCTGACAATATAATTGTTCTAACTCCAGTGATAACAACAACAATCGTATCTAAATCAGCCAGCTAACTAGGAAAGTAACAGTTAAAAATGATTTCTGAAGCATGTAAGTAATATATTTTAGCTTTTATACGTTTTATAAGTGAATTTATATTTTGTATTAGTATTTGTTTCATAGTATTATCATTATTTTATATATATTTCTCAAAGTTTCACAATCACATAGTTTCGGATAACTATATTCGGATATTCGTATGAACTATTTGGAACTATTTGGAGTATCGAACATTGTTGTTGTTTAATTGTTAATGATAATATTTTGTCCATTTCAGGTCAGACTTACTTACATTATCAGACGTTGTCCTTACAGAAATGTTGTCTCTTAGAACTTGTGACTGCAGTTAGCAGAACTTCCACAAAACTATGGAATTTTATATCAACAACATCAAGTCTGTGGGGAAGTTTTGACTTGCCATCAGTTTCAGATAAATCATTGTTTTAAGTCTTAAAATATTCACAAAATAAATAGATATTTAACATTCCAATGGGATCGGAATACCACTGTCTTGTCAAAACATAGATTTTAAGTTTGCATGCGAGTTTCAGTGTTCTCCGGGTCATCAATGATTATATTTATTAGATAATAGCAGAATTCTTAAAGCACAATACGGCATGATCTAAAATGTTGCCGGCTCGGTTTGATTAAGCCTGTTCATGGAATGTCCAGTATCTACGTTTTGCGACAAAAACCAATATGGGAGATCGCAAAATTCACTGGATGTAAAATCTTGAAAACGACGATTTTGCAATCTTGAAAGATTGTTAAGAACTTGAGCAGATATTTTTTCATACGTTGATATTAAACCACAAACAATACTTGAGACTTTGAATGCATGTGGTATTGACTTTAATTGTGTGAATTAAAAAGAATTATTGGTAACATTTTAACATTGATAGAAACGATGGCAAATGTAAACTATGTATATATAACTCTATTGAATCAGAATACCACTTCCTTTTATGTTGTCCAATTTATACTGTTATAAGAACTAAATATTTAGGAAACATTTCATGGCCTACTATACAAAAATTTTCGACTATATTGTCCACTAATAACAAAAAGCTTATTCTTAAATGTGCTCACTATGTTCATAATGCATTTAAGTTGAGGCAACAGTCTCTTGAAGATGTAACTGCTTCTTAATTAGTTTCATTCTTGTTCTCTTTTTGTTATATATTGTATGATGTAATATTTGTAACTATTTAACTTTTGGCCATATTTTTCATGATACTCTGTTAATGGCCAAAGGTAATGTTTATTTGCCGATTTGCCAATAAAATGAAATGAAATGAAATGGTAATATAATTTATATCTGTATCATTTAATCACAATATTAGAGATGGTTACAATCATTTCATTTTTCATAATGGTTCAAAATATGTCAGTTTGTTTTAGCAAGTTCATTGATTAAAAATTTTGTAAAATGTTTGTTTTTCTTTTTTTATGGCACAATTTTATATTGTTATTATCGAGAAAGGCCCACGTTGGAGATCACGTGAATGAATTTACACTTTGACATAGTAATTTACGAAGATAAAGTGATTCAGTGTCAGCGGTTCAACCACTCTGGCTGAAGATGTTCTTTAGAATGTAAAAATCTACTAATATTCTATAGTAAAATTATTACTCTTAAAAAATGCTAACTCAAAAAGTATTTACAATTTTAGCCTTACTTTGTCATATCTCCGCAAACTCATTTTTAGAGTAATTTTTTAATCTAAAAATAAACATTTTTGTTCTATCTCCAAATTTTTTTTTTAATTTTTACAATTGCTGCAAATTATAAAGGTATATAACAAAGTGCTTTCATCACATGTTGACATCTATAATACCAATCCAGAAGTCCACACTGTTAGGAGTTATTAAATAAAAGTTACAACGTCTTGAACCTTTAACCCTTTTTCCCAAAAAAGAGGAAATTGTAGATACACCATTTTTAGAATAGGGCGACGAGTTTACAAAGCATTTAAAGCAACAATAAAAAGTATTCTTATTTATATTTTCAGTTTGTATCATGTTTTCTTTTCATACAATACCGAAATAATATCTCAAATATACTAACGCCACATATTTGATTCATATCAGTTAATACATTTTTTGACAAAACGGCGCCAATCCGTAAGCAGCGTAATGACGTCATCCTAAGTAAACAACTCATTCGTAAACAAGCTGACGTTATTTCATGCATACAAGAATGATAAATGGGGCACTGATGTAAAATACAATACGACGTAAGTTTTTATTGTTGAAAACTTGATAAAATAACGTTTTCTTTATTATTTCTTTTGTTTAATAATTTCTATATCTTCGCAACAGTAGGGTGCGAAAATCGAACGGCGTTATACGAAATTCGGCACCGGAAGTTATTTCCGCTTGAAAAATAACATTACTGTAGTGATCTTCCTTATTTTATCATATTAGAATCGAAATAACATCGGCCTGAGAGGTGTATATCGGCTATTTAACACCGGTTTTGTCGTTTTGATGCGAAACAATTAACCACTCAGGCCTACGGCCTTCGTGGTCAATTCTTACGCATCAAAACTCAAAACCGGTTTTAAATGGCCAATATACACCTCTCAGACCGATGTTATTTCTTAATTATAGCATATAATTATACCAACTGACGTACATATATGTTAGAATATATACAAACTTACCATTGTTAGTGTATTACCATCACTCTTTCTTACATGTGTACACTCAAATGTATCACCTTTTTGTTTTTCTACTAAACTGTCACCATCAATTGTAAAAGTTACCTGGATTAGACAGAACAATGTCAATAAACTTTACTTATGTCAGGCATCACTTTAAAAAAATGTTACAATTTAAGGATTATTCACTTTGAAACGTCAAAATGTTATATGCATGAAATGACTGTAATATATGACTTACTTTTTAAAAGAAAAAACGTATTTTTTCTCTATCGTAAAGTATAGTTGAATTATTACCTTCATATTACGTCCATCAAGAGTCATGGAATTTTCTTCCTTTCCTATCGTGAAAGAGAAAGATTTTTCACCAGCTGCAGTAACTGTTGTTAATGTCCAGTTGTCTCCGTCAACTTTAAACTCCTGGGTCATGCCAGATCCCGCTGACAAAAACTTTAATGCAATTTCCCTCTTGTCATCAGGAACACCTAGAAAATTGATAATACTTTGTATATTTGTATTTTACTATATACTTTACTATATTTAACTATATATAGCATTTTAAAAGCAAGTTTGATTCCTTGGTTGATCTAATATATCTGACATATGTTTCTGGGAAATGCAGAAAAATATATCAGTTTTAGATATGGCAGAAGATTCACATCTTTTGTATCGAAAGATATAAAATGTAAATGATACACTTAGATAGCATATGAAACACAAGCTTTCTCATAAGTTTTCTGTTTTTAAATGATATACATACCATATAAAATTTTATACGATTTGGAATATTTATACATTTCTTAGACTCTTGACTCTTGACTCATTTATCTATAATTATTTTTTTGTTTTAAACTGTACGGAATATGCACTGTTCACACTTTTTCCTATTTTTTTTTTCAATTCATTCATCTACTTTTATCTTTAATATATACAAAAAAACTTTTTCATCTTAGCGGAAGAAAAATAAAACATACCAATGGCTTTCATATACTCTTCAAAATTGTCTGAACTGTCAATTTTCCATTTTCCAGCGACACTCGCCATTATACATATATTGTCGACTTTCCTTTGCTATTAAAAATATTCGTCAATTTTAATATTAAACTACTTTTGTTTTTATAACAAACTTATTTATTATTATTTTATATCTGATTAATAAACAAATATGATCACTGCATATATATCCTTTTTATGAAGTTTCCTTGTAGTAGTTATATCTCTGTGCTGTCTTACATAAACTAAGAAGAAGCAATTTTATCCTATCCTCTCTGTTCACTACGGAATGTTGTCTATTTCTCCTGTAGTTCAAGCAATAATGGAATACCTGGTCTGTTTATATACAACGTCATGACAGAGAGAGTGTTCTAATGATGAAGACCAGGTTATCACCGGTAAAACAAAACATAAAATGTAATCATTATCACATACATGTGGTAACGAGGCCGTTTAATTGTAATATGTTAATCCCACTTTATGTTCATTCATGCATTTTTGCTGTATTAATAATTATAAAGTGTAAGATGAAAGTTGGTTTAATTTCAAATTAATTATTTCCTGTTTTATATTCCCCACATTTCCTTGCCTTCATGTAAATGAAAGTCTTTCAAGTTAAACGTAGCTTTTAACATTAACTATTTTAACTTAGCCTTTTTATATAATGCTATGTAAAAAACAAAGATAGAAAATGATATATAACGACCTAATTAAGTATGAAAAACATCAACTTCAGACAGAAATGATATGGACTAATTAATAGAAATATAAAAGATGAACTCATATAGATCATTTTAAACACACTATTAGTTGATACAGCATAAAACAAATTTATAATACATATACACATATAAAACTAATACAAAAAAAATATGCAGCATTGAAAAAAAAATGAAAATTAAAGACTGAAAAATGATTTATTTAAACAGCATTGTGTAGTTCATAACTATGCAAACTATGTTGTCCTTACTTTGAAAAGCATCAGTTTTTTTTGTATTTCAGACTGAAATAAAATATCTACAATATTCAATATAATAAATCATGTAGAAAAAACAGGCATTTCTTAATTAAAAATCTTATATGTTTGTAAAGCTAAGACACTTTATTTTTAATGATTGTAACTATGGTTTCTTTAGCAGTAATCAATATGATACGTAGATAGTAAGAACATACTTTTTTTTATTTTAGTCTCATTTGTGTTTACTTCTCCACAAAAGTGCCGAGTAAAATGACAATAGTTGTATGAAAAGAATAATACCGTATATATTTAGGTTTCCCTATTTTTGCGTAGTTTAATACCTAGTCTATTTAATTACCGAGATACTGTTTTACAATCATTTGGTACGTGATTATGAATGTCAAGTCTGAAGTCTATGGTGACACTAAGTATGTTTTTTTCTTCATCTTTCAATTTTATATCAGAATTATTTAAAGAAAACGCAAGTTGAATGTATGTTTTCTTTCCAGCTAGAAGTACCTGAAACTATTTTGGATTCGTTTTCAATTTATTGTCAATTAATGCCTCAAGTGAAGCTCACTGCGCAATTTATACATCGTAACAGATAAGAAAGCGTATTTAGTTGCACTATTAAATAATCAGTTACAAAAACCACATGATTTAAAATCTAACGTTTATTTGCCAGTTTTATTAGAGTGAGTCATATGTATTGCCATATGGTTAATAAATGAAGCAAAATAACACATACTTTACAAGATTCAAAATAACCTTCACCTACAAAAGTACAAAATATCAGACATTTTATTAAGTCTTTGAATACTTTTTAGATAGTATTATTTATATATACTCTTCAACAACTGAAAGATGGCTAACTCAAGATATAACGGCGACATGGAAGTTATTTTATCAATCTCGGAAAAAGGAAATGTTCACGTGATACATCTGGCCTTAAAGCATAGACACACTTTATTGACGCAATGCAGGGGCATTGTTAAGAAGAAACAAACATGTCATACCGGTAGAAGGGAGCACTTTATTGAAGTGCTTGTCATTTTCATAAGCACTGTATTTTCGTACAATTTTATTGTGCAAGATGAGTCTTGGTGACATTGGAATTTGGACTATAACATCACGGTTATTGTCAAAAATGTAATTGTCTTAAAACTGGCAAAACGTTTGGACATTTTTTGGAGCCATATCTTATTGATATACTTTCGAGTTTAATTGCTAAGAATACATCAGCATTTATCGCCTGTAACTACCTAAAACAGATGTACATGTATATAAAAAAACCCTTGAAAAATTCTTCATTCAGTAATATTCAGTCACATTTTACTCGTTCTTTCTTCAGAGCAGCTGTAAGAAAATGACTAGCACCATATGGTGCTGATTCACGTAGCTTCAAAGTTGTTTTTTTTTTCTGAATCGTTTGCTTCAATTAATCCTTTTGTAATCTCTAAGATACGACTTATCCCGTTAAGTGATGATCTGACACTCGTGTCAACGATAGAATTCAATTTACGATTGTTTTGTCTAAGTAACAGCCTAATGTTTACTGTCGGTTTGCGTGCATCTTCAAATGACTCGTGTCCATTTTTGTATGAATGTATTCACCTTCTACCAGATGCATAGGACACTTTACCATCCTTATAGGTACTACAAATTTGATTATAAATACTATATTAGCTGAAACTCGAGGCTTGTCTCGAGCATTAATGTAACACCGTATTTCAGCACTTTTATCAAAGCGTTAACCAGCCTTAATTTACAAATTGTTGCTTTTGTAGACTTATTTTATATCGACATACAATTGTACAGTGAAAAAGAACAAGTATGTATGCGGTACTATTTGAAAGAGTATGCTATGTAGCATATTTTGGTATACATATGCATAGATTGCACGGATAATGTTAGCAATAATACGTTATATTGAATACATATTGACCCATCCTCGAATATAAACTACTAAAGCATATATTTTTCAGGGAAAACTTCTAACACGCTATAAAGCACATTAATGGTACTAACCTTAGCAAGTTAATTCCCTGAACCCGAGCGTTTCCGAACAACTATTGAAGTTTCTTTTTTACAATTGTTTCATATGAAACATGTCAGACACTAGATTTGCATTTTTTCCGCCGATTTTTACAAAAAATATATATTAGAGCTGATCCACCCAACTGGCATTCCTTGATAAATAACCAGTGATTGCCAATTATTTTCAAGTGATAGACTCTTAATTTCATATGATTTCATATAATTTCATCGGTAAGAGACAAATGGCCTTAAACTCAATTACACATCGCCTCAGAATTAGGATAAATGTTTACAAAATTTAAAAATAATATCAATTTAAATTATCTTTATTTTTTATAAAACTTTTCTGAAGTAAAAAAGATTATTTTAAAGATTATTTAATGTTTATTCTTCTTATAATACAATGAGAAGAAATTTTACAGTCATGACATTAAAATCAATAAACGTTTCCAAACTAAAATCTGTAAAACTTTAAGCGCAAAACTTTTACTGCAAACAATCTGAAAGGAAAGGGAACTAAACATATTACTTTGAAGAATGGCCAATACAATATCATTACTTATAATCTAATGCATATACTAACTAGTATTATCAAACGATAAATCTTGTTGTAATATTGTTAAAGTAATGGTAATAATTGTAAAAATTAAATCGAAATAACAGCCAAATCACGAGGGTGATAAAATTCTGACAAGTCTTACATAGTTTATGCACATAAATCTGTCTTTCTTAATTGAATTATAGCATGGGATTGGTATATGAACAATATAAAAAAGCGTAATAACAGCAAAATCTTGTGGGGAAAACAAATACAATTCTGCAAAGTCAGACATTTGTACATACCGTATGCACATTAATCTGTCTATCTTAATTGAATTATAATTAAGCATAGGTTTGTTATATGAACAATATTACAAAGAAAATATTCATTACTTTATTCCGGAAATAAGTAAATGAAATAAATTTTAATGTTCATATTAGTAATACTTTTAACAATTTACCATACCTTAAAATATAGTCCAATCATAAAGTTCCTTAAATGATTAAAATAGAGGTTACATGAACTTGATATCTCTTTGCCAAAAAGGATTATAGACTTTTTACACATTGTGAGATTTACGAATCGGATTATTCAAATTTAAACTTTAAGCAAAACAACACAATTCGAATTGATACAGACTGGGTTTGATTGATTCTGTCATGTAAACCTTTCTTTTATTTTACATCAAATAATATAGAAATGTTCCTTTTCCTGAAAATGACATTTTCACAAATATTCAACAGTATTAAATATATCTTATATCATGTAGATCTATATCATCAATAAAAAGAATCAAATCTTGTTCTCAAACTTTTATCGCATTTGCATATACATTATATTTTTTTCTGTCAGATAATTGACAGATATTATTTATTTTTCTTACATTTTTCCAGACATTAGTGTCTTCATTATCAAGAACTGAAAAATAACACCTGGTCATAAATATGTCTACAGTTCTACTACACTAATATCTTTGTAGACACCCGGGATTATGTGAAGACAACAATATATATGAGTTGTACAGGTATAATAATAGAGATAGTTGATTCGTCCTACAAGTAGAGCTTCTGAAAATCAAATTTAAGTACATTGTATAATTTATACATCGTAACAAATGAGTAAGCTATAAATTACACTACTAAGCCGTCAGATACAAAACTAGACCATTTGTAATGACAGAAATATACATCTTACTAAATAAACGCTTTATTTCAGAGACAATTTGAACGATATATAGTACAGCAATGGGAGATTACTTATGAAGTTAATTCTCAGAAGCGGAGTGATGTCTCTTGAAACAACTATTGAAGCTGATTGTTACAAAAGTTTCGCGTGAAACATTTCACAAACTAGATAAACGAAATGTAGACAAAAAAATAAAAACATTATGATTATCATATGTATTTTACTTCAGTGAAATAGAATTGATTAAGAGATTGATAAAGGTTGTCATCCTCGTTTTACTGCAATGTTAGTTAATACAGGTGTCTATAAACATTTCCCAATTAGAATCAACGCAAATCTTTCACTGCAAACAAGCTGAAAGGAAGGTGAATAAAACACATTACACATAGCTTTGAAGAATGGCCAATACAATATCATAACTTATAATCTAATGCATAAAGTAACTAGAATTATCAAAACGGTAAATATAATGGTAATAAGTAAACATTAAAGCGTAATAACAGCAAATCATGTGGGATATTAAATAAAACTTTGCCAAGTCATACATACGTTATGCATATAAATCTGTCTCTGTTAATTGAATTATAATTAAGCATGGAATTGTTATATGAACAATATAACAAAGAAAATATTTATAACTTTGTT